TAATTCATCATTGTTTCATGGGTGGTAACAAAATAGACCATATGATGACCTCATAAGAATTGAACAAATTAAAGTTCAAAAGAGTTGAGTGATGCTTCAATTAGTCTACTTTTCCTCAATGGAATAAGAAAAGGGTTTTAAAGTTTCATTGTTTCTGACCTTTCCTCATTTACAAACAGTATCAACATTATGAATTCAGTGGGTTTTGTTCTGTTTTCTCTATATTAGCAAGAAAGACTAACAATTAATGGTTGAAAACAATAATAAAAAAAAAATTCCTTGACTTAGCATTTAATGAAGTTTTAATTTTATTTCCTTTCCCTGTCTACACTCAGTCATCTAAACCAAGCCTTTCCCTGGTACACACCTTAGACTTTCTGCTCACTGCTCCTTCGAGTTTGTTTTGAACTGTAAGCAGAGAGATTACCTTTAAAGAAATGCTCAGCACTAAGATCAGTGATTTGTATAATGTAACTGCAACTTAAAATATAAACAATAAAAGCCATGCTCCATCTAGAAGCAGTAAGGTAGATTTTTATCCCTACACACTATTTAGGAAAGGTATTTTATTTGGATAAATAACTATCATTTCGCCAAAATATCTCCTTTAGTCAAGAGCTCCACTTGCAAATGAAAGAGTTTTCAAATGTCATTTTTGCAGATAGCAGGAACATAAAACTTCATATAACTATTGAAGAAAAGGCACATGTATAAAATTGTTTTAAAGACTATACATGACCTAGAAATTGAAAAATCATTGAATGTTCAATGTTCAATCAATGAAAAATCATTGAAAATTCCCCTTTTCAGTTCTTAAAGTACTGAGAAATGCCTCTATATTTAAAAATATTCAAATACATTCAGGCAAAAGACAGTTACTTCAAATGTAGGAACATATACAAAAGCTCCTGGAAGTTTCTCCCCTCTGGGGTTATTTGTGAGAAGTCCCTATTTGTGAACACATTCAGATACTGATGTACATTTTCACGCAGAAATTAAGACACCAGTACATGTCAAGTTGTCTGAAAAACAAAAACAGGCTTTCCTAAAAATGACATCTCAAAACACTTTAAGTGAATTATTTTTTCCATAACAAGCCAGGAGGAAATCCCAAGTGTTAAGAGATGACACGAGTGTTAATGCCATTAACATTCTTTCAGCACTCCATGTCACTGTGTAATTGATGTCCTGCTGCTCAATCACTCTGAAAGGAGGAAAAAGGTTCCCAGCCATTTCCAGATGCTGAGATCCTGGTTTGGAGTACATTTTTGTTCCTTCCCCAGTGGCCTGCTCTAAGAGGCTCTGCAGTGCAGCTCCTCCAAGAGAATCATCGGTTGATGTTTAATGCACATTAAATATCTAACATTCGCACTGCATAAAAGCCCCCCCCACACACAAAGCAGACTTCTCCCCAGATCATTTCTGTACAATTGAAGTACATCAAGTAAGGAAATAAACCCCCTCACATTCAGTTGTGAAGCAGTAATCATTATTAGATGGAACTGTGAGCATAAATACATATCAAGTGAGAATACATGCCTTTCAGGAAGGCAGTTTTTTTTACTTCATAAAAAGGATTCTGTTTTAATGAATGGCATTCCTTACTGAAAATTAAAATTGGTTCACAAATTGCTGCTGTTCCATTTAATGATAAGATGAATGCATAGGGCTTTGAATTTTTTTATCTGCATCAATTTTTGCTCTTTCATTCATTGTTCCCTTAATTTTGAAATTCTTTAAAAATAAGCTTTTAATTCTTCACATGTATGACATCAGAAGAAATGTTAGTTAGAAATGGCAGCATTTACTGCTCTGGTAGGCAAAAGATTTTAATAAGATTAGGCATGTTAGTGTCTCTTAATAGGGTAAATGGTACAGCTGAACACCAGAAAAGCCATATAAACCCTTCATTTAAAGGTATAATAGTAAATCTAGGACACATTATATAAATAAATTAATGTAAGATTGTTTATAAAATATATAGTGATTGTTTATAAAATATATAGTGATCCAAAAGCATGCTCTCCAGCATGCTTGAACCCAATGACTAAACACATGCCCTCCTGCCCCCTGTATCTACCCCTTTTCCCTTCTCCTTGGAACAATGTTCAGAGCTCCTGTCTATTTTCTAGAGGAATAAACTTTTGTCATTGAGTGTGTGTATGATGGAAGGAATAAAGAAGTGGTATTTATTATTTATGTGTTTATAGTTCTATGTCAAGATTAATTAAAAAGTTAACTCTGTACAACTTCCCATTTATTCCCTCTGAAATTGCTTTGCATTCTGTTGTCTTTAATCTTTGCTAATAACATTTACATTTAAACTCCATTAATCTGAGTATCTTTCTCAATCTCCAACTAGACACTCACATCACTAAAAAGAAATGAGTGTATACACCTACAGCAAGTAAATCTAAAATTCAGAGTTCTGCAGTTTAAAATAAAAAAAAAAAAATAGAGGCACAAACACTGAATTAAAATAAGAAGTGAAAGCCAGACCTGGCTTAGTCTATAATTACTTTTCTAAACTGTTGAATCAGACTCCCCAGTGCTGCATGAACAGGGCTAATTATATAAGAAACCTCTCACATTAAAGTTGAATTATTTACAAACTGCTCTTCAAGTAAAGTACAGTTCCAGCCATGGATTAGATCATAAAAAAAGTCATCTCAGGAAGCACACATAGGTTATTTAATATAGCAAGAAATTCAGAGAATATTTTAATTTCCCCCCCCCCTTTTTTTTTTCTAACTTTCTACTTTGTGTTACAGCAGAGCTGTAACCCTGAAACAATCAAGCACTAAGAGAGATGGTTCAGCTGAAAATTCTTTGACCTTCTCATCTCAGTATGTGCCATCAACAAAAAAATCTTTCACCAGCTGTAAAACAAAAGCAACACTTACTGAAGACCAGGGTACAATTTTTTTCACGCTTAACAACTGTTCTTCAATCTAATAAAAAAAAAAAACAACCAAAAACAGGAGTGTGGAAAACTTTAAAATGCTAAGTGATAAGCAGAAACAAATTTGAACATTTGATATAAAGGGAGATGACTTTCTAAAAGAGAAACCCACCACTTATCAGGTCATCTATTAATTATGCAAACATAAATCCTCAGGTAGAATCAGTTCATTTCTTACAGGCTTATCTCTTTTGTCAGGCCACCAAATTCACTAGTTTGATAAAAGCTGGCACTCACAGTTCCAGGTGCCTATTTTAATTACCTCTGGTTGGTAATCTACCTGTGACATCAAGGTACAGGCAGTGAAGTTAAGCTGCCCAAGAGATGTGAAACAATAATTTTCAGAAATTTCATAGGACTCTCCTATTTTTGTCAATACAAAGAAGCATCAGTACATTAATTTTTTTTAAACTCTTCTGCATTGTCAGACAATCCTTCTTCTGTTAAGAAACTCTGGTGATAAACTGTGAAGAGGAAAAAGTTAAATAATACCTCTTTGACTCTTTTTTCTCACTGAACTATCTGAGTGATGCCCATTGTTTTTATAAAAAGAATACAGAGGTAGCAAAACAACAAAAGGCAAAGCATTTACTCAACACAACTGAAATATAATTTCTATAGCCTGTAAACCAGAGCTATCAAGCTTAACAAGGAAACACAATTGTGAAGGTGCATTTCAGGACACTGTTTTCATTTCTGAACACAAGTGGGGTTGAGGTAACAAAATTGAGCCCTCGCACAGGGTGACAAGGCAAAGGACAATGGACAATTACGAAGCAATATTATAAGTTGTTCTAATATGAATGCATCTCAGGCAAATGAGGTGTTTTTTTTTTAATAGCAGAGCTGATAACTGTGATTACTGGTAGCAAGTCTCTTAACCTTGCAAGTAAGACAAGGTGGAAGAGAATATGTAAGGAATAAGAAACAATTTTCCACTTAGTCAGGAGTTGTCTTCCTTAAGCTACTTTGCTGCAGTCTTGTCAGAAACTTAAAATAAATCCATACAGAGAAGATATTAAATAACTCCTAGTGAAATTCTGTCACTGAATCCATTCAGACAGTAAATCCTGCTAAAACTGACTTTCCAAATACACAGGAGTTGGGAGAAGCTCTTCGATACATTCACCTGCTAAACATGATGAGTAGCTGCAAATGGCTCCTTTTTCTTTTTCCTCCTTTGAAAAACACACAAACCCAAGACTTCTGGCTCATTACAGTAAGAAAGAAGAGATGTCACAAGAACTATCTGAGCTTGATAAATGCACAAAATGCCTTGGATTTGTCCACACGTCAAATGCTTCCATGTATGTACACAGAAATGTGCTTTGTGCAAAATAAACACCTATGAATTTCTTTTCAGAAAAAAAGGGCTTCTGTCTAGTCTTTATTGCAGTTTTGTGAGCTTCTTGTATCAATAGTACTCTCTACTTCTTACTTTATACTTTGGAGCAAAACTAAAACTGGTTATAGGAAAATTTTGGAGAGAAAGCAAGTTAGACAGACATCATGTGGTATTCTCCCACAGACTTTTTAAAAGAACAAACCACTTGAGTGCAAAAAATGTCAATATTTCTCTGAAACGATCTGTTAAAAATGACATTAGAACCATTAACAAAATTATATATATACACTCTGCCCTTTAAAAAACACATGTGAAGCTGAAATACTATCAACTTTGCTGATATTTTTCTAAAAGTGATTCAACAAATATTATTAAAATGATTCCTTAAGGCAAAAAAAAAAAAAAAATCCCCATATTACTATCTCTGAGAGTGGTCACTATAACGACTTGCTTCCAGAAAGCTCTCTGGTTTGCCCCTTGGAAGTCTGATAATAGATGTTTTAGGTTCTACTCAGTTCTTTGAGTGTCTTTCTCAGTTTTCTTACATCCAGCATGTTCTCTGATGCTTTTTTTCTCTGCTCTAGAATAAAGGTATGAAAGAGGACACTTAAAACCTATTTTCAAGTGCTGTAAACACTCAACCGGATGAACAAAATGTTCAGTTCACCAATGAGGACATTCAAAAAGGATATGCTCATCTTCTCTACAAACTTATCGTTTTCATCTTGTGTCTTAGGGAAATTGTTAATGTCATTTTCTAGCCGCTGGATCTGCTGGTTCATGGAATCAAGGTTGCTCTTCAGAGTCTGGGCTGAAACTAGGAAAAAAAAAGACAATGAGTAAAAAGTTTCCAGATTCAAGAAAGGGTATCAGAAGGGGAAAAAACAATGTCAGTATAAATAGTCTTAAAGAGAATGATTCCATTAAGTAGACCCATATTTTTCTGAATTACTGCTCATAAAAATCCTACCCTTCATAAAAACTAAGTGAAACTATCTACTGTAATATACCAGATCATCATATTTAACATTGAAATGTCACCATTTAATTCTACCATTAGTTCTAATTATTCAATTTCTATTTAAATGTATGGTAAAAATCCTAATATTTCATTCTTTTAAATCTAATTCAAAGACTAAAAACTAACTAGAGTTCAAAAAGATTTTACCTTATTAATGCATGTACTTGGTTAAATTATTATTAATGCTTATTTCTGTTACAGGAATGATTTAAGGAATAGACATGGAGGAAAAAAAAAATTAAATATTTTTCTTACATTGAAATTAAACTGATTTCTAGAACCCAGAGCTGTGAAACCCCATGTTAATAGCAAAGGTAGGTCTGAATAATAAAAGCTCCTGGTAATCAAACTGAAGTAAAGGACTCAGAGTGCAGTACAGCAGAAAAACCCTGAAGAGACTACTCAAAGAAACCCTGCTTACTGTGTGACAAGCTGTTCTAGTGTAAGCCATTATTTCTGTAATTTGTAATAAACAACCACTAATTGAGACAGCATCTGAGAAATCATGACAACACAACGTTGAAGGTAAAGTAACACCACACGCAAAGAAATTCCAGAACAGGAGTAAAAGTGACAGAGCCTCTGCAGAGAAGCTCCTGGTGTAATTTAACTACAATTAAATTGTAATATTAAAATTAATTGAATGCCTAATATTGAGTTTTGTGCCGTAATCCATGAGGTTCACTTATTCTTAGTTCTATCATAAAGAGCAATTTGACAAATGCTTCCTCTTAATTAAAAGATGCAATTCAAAACCCAAGTCTGCCTTCCCTTGTCTCCTCCTGCACAGCTTACAAATCTGTGCTTTCCAGCACAAGCAGACAATCCCAACAGCCCTTTCCCCCAGGAGCACTGTAACACCCGCACCATTTCACCTCCATCCTCTAAATCGAATGCTTCAAGTACCCTTTACTTCAGAGCGAATTTATACTCTACGAACTACTCAATCTTCAGTGGCAGTGCATATAATCGGGTCAATTCTTGCAAAGACAGTGTCACAAACAACTTCTGATGTGTGGCACCAGAGGTGAGAACATCCAGCACGTTCCCTGCTCCTCAGTAATGGCCCAGTCAATGCTTCGATCGACTGCAGGCACCTGCCCTCCAGAGCCAAAGCTGAAGGGCTGCATCCAGCTAACCCAGGCATTCCTAGTGCAGTCAAGATCAGCACATAACTTCCTTTTTTAAGGGCTTTCTGCTTCTTAGTATCTTTTCATGGCAAGTGATTTGTCCGGAAGTTCCACCAAGTATTTTCTAAAGAACCGTTGATTTTTCTGCTTTCTTGTAATTAAAAAAAAAAAAAAAAAATTGTGCTGTGACTACGTGAGATTAAGCAGTAGGAGGAATTTGAGTCAAGATGGCTTGAAAACCAGTATATAAGAAATAAAAATCTGGCAAATAAGGAAGCAGTTCCGAGAACAAAATCAATTCTCTATTCTTTGCAAGTAACAACTCGCATCAGCCATAACATCGATTTCACGAGCACATTCAAATCCATAAGGCACCAATACAGCTGCCTTTATCACAGCCATTATCTCGATTTTATTTTCAATTTTATCAGTTTTATACTGGGTACCAAAGGGACTATTCATCTTCTAATGTTAAAATTATAGTGAAACAGTTTTTAAGCTTAATTCAACTTGGGGGGGGGAGGGAGGGGGGAAGGTGGAATCTATACTGACCCCAGCATCCTTGCAGTTATTAACTTCACATTCGAGAGTTAACCTTTAAAGCAACCACTAAAACAGTTTGAATAATAAACATTAGCAAATATTTCAGGTTGTGGTTGCATTAGTTTAATCATGTGATATTATGGTCAGAAAGGAGTGCACATTTTTGCTTGAAATTAAGAACTTGAATTACTGTAATATTTTTCTCAAGTTGGATGAGGACACAAGCAACAATGAAGGAAATGCTACAAGTGCAAAGTAAATTAGGAGAATGCAAATGGTCATTTTGTTCATAAACAGAACAGCAACTGATAAGAAAAGAGGCAACATAACGTGAAGTTTAAATGTTTTCAGCAATTTGAAAATAGAAGTTTAATTTTCGTCTAAAATTTAAAAGTGCAGTGAAATTCAGCACACAATGACAAACAGGAAGTCTTAACCTTTGTGATTAACATGTATGGGTAGAGTTTTTAGTAACTCTGTTCTATAAAATTAAGTACAGAAAACACCAGATTAGGTGCATAGTGCCTTGGAAAGTATGAAGGAATTCTATCCAATCAAGAAGGTTGCATCCTATAGCTGTGCTTCCCATAAGTAACTTTTTAAATTCACAATCAATTATCAAAAAAGTAGTAGAATATGCAATTCTGTTCACTTTTTTTTTTTTTTTTTTGCCTAGCCCAGGTAAATGCACAAGTTTCTGTTCACACAATTTATGAAGTTGTTGTTCTGCAAGACAAACTTAACGAGATGACAGAACAGGAAACATATATATAGACTATAATAAAATATCTGCATTTCCTCCCATAAACCCTTTTATTAGAGATTTACTACTTCAGTAATGTGTAGAGGAGGCAATATGAATTCCTTTTACTTTCAGGGAAAATCATGTAAATTTCTTAAAACTCTGGCAAGGTTTTAATTTATGAAAGCATAAATTCTACTTGCAGCAAAAGCCATTCCTTTAAAATCATTTAAAAATGCACATACTAAACAGCCTGTCCCACTGTAAGTTGGGGTTCACAAGAAAATGGCTTGTTCAACTTCAATTTGCCCATCATTCCACATGAAAATGAGTAGAACTCGTCTAAAAAATCTACATGAAAGGTAGCATTTGATCTTCAGTGGTACACAAATACTGTGCAAGGACTATTACTGGGACAGCCTTTCTCTAACAGGCAATCCAATATTATTTAATATTGCAGCAACCAATACACAGATATCTGATTTCAGGGTAGGAACAATGAGGTGAGCACAGAAGATAAGGAAAAACAAGGAAAAAAAACAACCCAGCATCAACAACCAGAAAAAAACCTGTCCATAATCCCCAGACAGGCTGGGAGGAGCAAACCCCCCAAAAAAGAAAGCAGCCTAGAGAATGCTTGGACATTTATTTCCCTGTTTTAGTAGTAAAGGTAAAATATTAGCCACATTTCAAAAGTAAAACAAATAAATATCAGTGAACAACCCACCTCACCACCCTCACAATTTTACAGGTAAATGAAGACTCCCATCAACAGTGAAAAGGTCAGTATTTAAGAAATGGCAAAGTTTGAGAAGTCAAAGGAAAGTCAAATTTGCTGACACGGAATAGTGGAGACAAATGGTATAAGTGAGTTTACAAAAGGATTATTTGGATTCCTATGCAACAGGTTCATAAACATATCAAAATAAACAGACAAGGATGTAACACTTAATTTGTCTCCGAGAATACGTGCGGGTAGTGGGGAAAACAGCCTGAAGGAACTGCAGTGTTCTCCCCATACCATGTGCCTAAAAAACCCACATAAACCCCCAAACTTTATATGGCCCACCTTCAGAGCCAAAGGGAGGAAAAAAAGGCAGTGAGGTTTCCCTAGTTGAGCCCTATTAAAAGCCTGACTTGCAGAGAGCACCAACAGCTCTAAGGTGGAAAGAAATACAGCATGTTTAATGTGTGTACCTTGAACCACTGTGAAAAAAAGGATTTATGAGACAGAGAAAGAAAACCAACACGTGTGTTTCAGCTTCACTCCTTGTCCCACAGAATCACTACAACATATGGAACTAGTATGAATAAAGTGAAGAGGAAGTGATGTGTATTAATATATTGTTCAGATTATTTTTCATGTCAGTGGAAGACTAATATACGCACGTAGATCTATCAATATTCTTTCTGCACAAGTACTGGATGAAACTCCGTTAATCATGCATCATTAAATCTGTGACTGATTAAAAGATTATTTTGTATATTCTTACTTATTTATAAGAGAAATCCACACTCACTGAAGAGACAGCACAATGTTATTTTGACACAAAGGTGATAATAATTTCCTTCACGTTATTGTTTTCCCTATATTAAATTCTGCTCTACAAAAAAAACAATGCTATCCACTTATTTTGGAGAAAGCAGTTGCACAGTCTGCACGCTAAGGAAGGCTTAGTGAGCGTCTGCTTTAGTCCTAGAAAAATGCTCCAAGCAGTTAATCTCCTGTTGATGTTGAACACTAGCTGGTCCCTGTAGTCAAGCTAAGCATTTTGTATTTACAGTAATACAGCAACAGTACCAAAGGACAGACTAATCCTTTCTAAAATAAGATTGCATCAGACTGAGTCCTCCCCACAAAAAGAGTTGAAATGATACATTTTGATTAGGTGCAGTATCTCTTGCATAAGAAATTTGAAGGGTCTCTGATCATGATGCAAAACTGGGATGGCCATGTCCATGGTTAGCAAAAACTCTGAAGGGAGAACCAACAATATAAATTACTTCAGTAAGCAAACTAAGTCAGTATGAAGCAAATGAACTCGTGGATTTTTAAGTCTAGACAGTATTTGTACCATAACTGCGTTCTGAGCATACTAATGACTATTTATTTCTTACTGCCTGAGGGCAGATGGAAGTAGTCTTTCACAAAAGACTGAAAAGCAGTTTGAGGGGAAATGGGTGAGCAAGTACATAATCTTCAGGAATTACAATCATTGATTACTCAATTCATACTAAGTAAGTTTCTATTTATTAAGACAATAAATGTTCTGTTGGAGTTGGCTGAGCAGTGCTGCTGCAGCCTAATGGAGGATTGGGAGCAGCTCAGTGTGTGTGTACCTCAGAGCATGCCTGTGTATCATATGTGTGTGCAGACATAA